CCTTCAGTAATTGGAGAGACAATCAACAAAAATTAGAACATTTCCTGATGCAATTTCGTGAATTTGCTCGACAGATTTTGTTTTATGAGGCAATATGTTTAGGCCAATATACTGAAAAACGTATAAATGCAGCCCGTTAGAGAAAAATATTTTGTTTTATTTATTTTAGCTAAATTTTTAAATATGAAAGGTATCAGTTGTATTACCTATGTCCTTCACATCCATTATTAGTCACACAGCAGCTGTTCACGCTTCATGTTGTGCCACACCGAATGCAGGAAAAGGCTCAATAATGGTACCTTGACTTTGAGTGCCAGCACTGCAATATTATTGGAAGCTAACTGTACAATGTGCTCGATAATTTAGATAATGCGTTGTTCTTTAGCGTGCACGTACAACACACAGAATACTACCCAGTATCATTTTGCCTCCTCTGAAATCTGACGGCAGAAGCTTGCATCAGAGCAGTGATCTTCGGGACAGCAACTGTGCCCAAAACCACGGGCCGCAAATTATGCTATGCATAACGTGCACTCATTGCCGTGCCGCGTTAGTCTAGTGGCTAAGGTACTCGCTGCTGACCCGCATGTCGGCGGATTGAATCCCGGCTGCGGCGGCTGCCTTTTCGTGAAGTCGAAAATGCAGTAGGCCCGTGTGCTCCAGAATTGGCTTACATATGAAAGAACCCCAGGTGGTCAAAGTTCCGAAGCCCTTCCGCTACGGGCGTCTCTCATGATCCTATAGTGGTTTGGAAAACATTAAATCCACACTATCAATCAATCAATCAGTTAATCAATCAATGAATAATTTCTAAGGTGAAGTCAATATTTTCACAATACCAGATCTCATATATGTTCAGCATTCATTTACTTCATCCAGCACGACTTTTGGCGTAGGCCAAGAAAGCAAAACGATGGCGATCTCAGCATGAGCGTGGCATGTAAAAATTTATGCTATGCATTGAGTGTACGTCAATATTTCTTATTACCACATGTGTGTGTTGACCTTACACTCACGTTGCGCGACTCCTTTTAACTTGAGTTGAAGTGATTGGAATGGCACCAAGCTTAAAATAAGTGTGTCGCGGCAAACATGAGCTGCATAGTATTGCTCACGTGTTCCCACCTAATAATTATGTTCACAATACAGTGTTGCCTGGCAGAATCAGATTAGTGTACATTAAACGGTTGCAACAACCGTGAGCTCACCAAGACCGTTGCATGCCAATCACGGCATACATAACTTGCAATGCACAATAAAATGTTACTCTTTGTCACTTCTGTTTGTGAGACAGTGCCGTAACAAATGACAATATTTGTTCATATCCATTAGGAGCCTGCCAACCGCCCCCCCCCCATGTCATAACTTGAATTAAACCTTACGTCTTAGGCGTGTAATGAATGGGACCTTAAATTTTGGCACTTCTACATTCTTGTCATCACATATAAAATTTCCTATATATCAAGTTGACGAAATGGTTTTATGTACAACAAGATCATAACCGGAAAATTAGGTTCTTTATAGAACTGATATTCTAATTTTCATTTTTTTGTTTGAGCTGTCATACCTGTTTTCCACACAGTGACGTTACATTATGGCAGATTTCGTATACACTCCATTAACAAAACGTTCATGAAATCAGAAAGTCGAAGGCAGCTAGTAGATAAGTAGATGTGCTCAAAGTCGCCAAGTATTGCTAAATATGCTTAGCATTTAGAGCTAACGCTGATCACAAAGCCCCGCCGTGGTAATCTATTGGCTAAAGTACTCGGCTACTGACCCGGCTGCGGCTACTGACCCGGCTATGAAATCTCGGCTGTGGTGACTGCATTTTCGATGCAGGCGAAAATGCTGTAGGCCCGTGTGCTCAGAATTGGGAGCACATTAAGAACCCCAAATGGTCGCAATTTCCAGAGCCCTCCACTACAACGTTTCCGTAAACATATGGTAGTTTTGGGACGTTAAACCCCAAATATCAATCAATCATCCACGTCGACCACGTTGAACTGACAAATACAATGAACAAAAACAAGGATCACAGCAAGAACCTCAGCGTGGCAGATGTCAGCGTGGCAGCTAGAAATCCTACCACAGAGTCACGCCAGTTCTTGTAAGTTTTTGGGAAAAAATGTTGGACCCTTCACCTTTGCCTTTTGCAGTTCAACGCGCAAGCAATAGTCTGTCCCTAGTGCGTACTTCAAGCGACTTAGTGCATACTTTCTGTCCTATGATGTTACTCGAGAAATTTAAAAACTGGATTGCTACAATGTAATTGATAATGTTAAAAGTGGCCTGTTTCAGTGAAGCTTTTGCATACTGCTGAATACTCTGTAATGAGTAGAATTTTTTAGAAAACGAACAATTATGACCGTGAAACGTTTTCTAACATGCCGTGCACCCACTACGTGGTCCTAAAGGAATACGCGCAATAACTTGTGTACATTTTCAATAGGTATACCAGTTCTAAACCACGAATTTGTTATGGTAATGACATGCTCTGACGCCCGATGGCAATGTATGCTTGTAGCGTGCAATATAACTAACATTAGATATCGTGCTGTAAAACGTGCATTTATAATGCATGTATTTCTATAGCGAGAGTTATTTCCACTGCAAATAAAGATAGCGGAAATCATTGGAACTGTTTTATTGTCTATTTATTTTCATATTGTCAGATTTTCTGTCACTGGTAATATCATGATTTTTTGCTTAACACCAACGATGTCTACGTGAACACCATCACTTCTAATTAACAGGTCTTTAACGCTATTGCAGTGAATGATCTTATAAAACGTAAGATCGAGGCAACGCCAATTTTAGTTGCTATGCTGTAAAAGTTGTTTTGTAACAAAGCAATAAATATTACATATACGTTGCTGATGCACGTGTCACGTTACATTAGTTGTGGTTTCAGGAATGGCTATGGTGGTTTTCGGGCTGTCTTTTAATAAACATCGAGCTTTTACTGTCCGCGCGCACGCAATATATATATATATATATATATATATATATATATATATATATATATATATATATATATATTTCTTTTCACGGCAAGTTCTATTTTTTCACCCACTTTTTTTTCTTCCTATTTACATTGGTTCTACTAACTCCCCCTGTACAATCTTTGGCATTATGGTCTGTTAGATCTCCATATTTTGTGTCCAAACACGGAAAAACGAGCCCTTAGGTATACACTTCTTTCTCATATTCATTAACGAGGGTCTCGTACTGGCAGACTTGGTGCCGTTAGGTTGTATACGAGGGACTATTGGTCAGCTGCCAGCCCGTAATAAGTTCACGTGCTACGTGGCGCCATAAAGGCTCACTAAAAGAGTATATCACACTCACCGACATGCCTACAGGTGGCGCTGACTTACACTCCTACGTTTAAATTCACATATAAACCCAATAAAGTGGCTCGGGGAATAACCACCGTGATAGCTCAGTGTTAGAGCATCGAACGCGTTAGGTCGTAGGTTCGTTTCCTGCTCACGGCAATTCATTTTCTCACCCACTTTTCTTTCTTCCTATTTACTAAACATTGCTTCTACTAACTTCCCCTATACATTTTTTGGCCTTAGTGTCTGTTAGATCTCATTATATTGTGTCAAAACACAGAAAAACGAGCCCATAAATACATACTTCTTTCCCTTCTATATATATATATATATATATATATATATATATATATAAAGCGCGCGGCCAATAAAAGCTCGATTATTTGGATGTGAAGGGGACTTTAAAATTGTTTGAAATAAGCATTGTTTGAATGATCATAACGATAAGATAAGCGCGAGAACAGAGCGATGACAAAGAGAAGAGAAGGAGACGAACGACACGTCTTTTTGTTGTCGTTCTGTTCTCGCGCTATAACTATCGTCATGTCATACCAACTATAGCTCAAGCTGCCACACTTCGAATGAGCGGGCAGGTGCTAGATTAAACAGACATCGTTTCACACTGTGCTGGGTATCCCAGATAAGCCATCTTTCGAATCGTCCCCACAATACGGTTACACTACATGCTTGTGATAAGTAACTTCCTAAAATAATTCTATAATCTAACAGCACCCAAAATTTTCTCATCAGCCAGCTATACGTCAGAAACAAGCAGAGACTTGCATTCACGTGACCAGTGAATCCAAATGTCTACATAAACGATGCTTGTGTATAAAACACATGGCAACATTAGTGCAACCAAAATTTACGGTCTTTTTTGCTTTGTTAATTTGGAACAATACTGAAATTGTCGAAGCGGACATCGCTAAAGGCAAACGTTGTTTGTCTGGACGTGCCACCCATATAGAGCAGTAGCGCGAGAGCGAGGGCATGTATGGCCATAAAAATATGTGTGGAAATGAACTACTACACTTTTTTTCTTTTCCACTAGAAAATTAATAAGTAATTACATAGAATTACAGTGAGGTGTTCCAGCACCAAGGCGCGAATTCGAATTATTTGTAAGTTGGAAATAACCAAATTCGAAATAACGACTTTTTACTCATATCTTAAGATCTGACAAGCTAGGTCAACGCGTCGCTCGACAGCATAAAAATGCCGTGGTAAAATTACGTGCGATAATCAAAATCACTTGATTTCAAAGATTCTGGCGTTTGCGGTCTGAGTTGAGTGTTGAGTTTACAGAAGGTCATAAGGTACTCCATTAGCAACAGCTATGAGAAGCCCACAACGTGCCTATAACTTACAAAATTGCGTCTTAATACGTCATACTGCTTGTTTGAAAGCTATAAGATGCAGCTTCGAAAGATTTCCTCTATCTGTTTCACGCAAAACTGATTCTGATAAGGTTTTAGATCTTTCTAACCTATTTTGAATGTATCCGACGAGGGCATGTTCATGCAGGGTAGACAATTCTCATGAAGCACAATAAAAGTGGTAGATGTCGCCAAGAACCCTGTAGCGTAGGAACCTAAAGCAGGATTGAGTACAACGAATAGATGTGAAGTATATTTAGGGTGTACGAATCATCAACACTTCTTTAGTTATACAAGATATCGTTTCCTTTATTTGTACACTGAGAAATGTAAGGCATATACTGTTTGCCACGGCATTTTTGGTTGAAGTAGTTCTCACAGCCAGATGTGGGTCCACTTCCGAGGTGACTTTCTCTTATGTACATTTCGCACTTATGAAAATCTGAAAAAAGAGAATTAAGTGACCCTGAAGCGTCGTCTTTAAGAGTTGAAAGCGATAGCGATATCCTGTTCCTAGTGCGTAATTCAAACACTAAGTGCAAGACACGTTTTAGAGCTAGCTATGCACACACTACGTGTCCTTGAGGGAGTAGGCTCAGGAATGTGTGTGCCTTTTGTAGAGGGTGACCACTTTTAAATCATGAAGCCCTTACGACAATCATATGTTCTGGCGCCCGATGACAAAGGGGCTTGTACCACAGAATATTATCGCCATATTTCATGTTGTATTGCAAAGCATATAAACGAAATGCATGTGTTTGGATTATAGTGATAAGAGGAGGTCACTTCACGAGCCTGTAAACACGCCTCATTGGTGACTCAGTGAAACAGATGGCGTTATTAGTAATTTGAAAACCATGACAAAAGTAAAAAGCAAAATTTACGAAAATCAGATAGCAAAAATAGAAGAAAATTCACTCTATTATGACCGTGTGCGTTACTACAGAATTTCAAGGGCTGCGAAGACCTACAACGAAAACCAAAGGAAATCGAAATAGTGAATGCGTCTAGTGAAAAGCACGCATGTACAGTTAAATCTATTTAACTGTGATAGTGCTAGTACTTTTTTCTGCTACGAAGGAAACGTTACCTTGCCTCAACTTTCATCTGTACGAGATCCTACAGCGTTGAACTTTTGTGTGAGGAAAGGTTCGCGAATTTATGTGTCATGCTGCAAAAGAAAATCTAATTCTATTGTATTAGGTGTTAGTTTATCCAAATAATAACTGAACCTATATGCCTGGACAGAAGTATAATAAGTAGTCTTGCGGCATGCAACTTCTGATTATTCAAATACAGTCTGAAAGTAGTTTGCCTTAAATTTGGTCTGATATACCGAAGCTTACCAACAGAGCATTCTAGCATGTAGACAAGGTTGCTTTTCACTTTTAAATTCTTTTTTTTGGCTCAAATCTTGAAGCTGTGCTCTTGAAAGCAGTCTTCGTCATGGGGTTTCATACCGAGAAACTGATTTTCTTGCAACGATGGCAATCGGGGTGAAGTATGGCGGTAGTTTAGATGACGTGATAAGTCGCATATGCTCCTCTATCTTTGATTTACTCCCATTAAGGGTAGGGGAACCAGCAAACAATGTTCAAGGTGATCACAATGCCACACCAAGTTTTGAAGCTTCTGAAGATTGCTGTTGCTGCTGGGGGCCGATGGGAGTCTGGTGATACCAGGTTAGTTTTTGAGAGCATAAGGCTCTTATTTATTAAAAAGTTCCTTGTGGTCAACGCCATAAGCCCATTTCATGACATCGTCTATATTTTTCAGGTTCTGCCGAAGTTTGGCTCAGTTCTCTGTGTAGTCTGATTCATAAGTACACAGTTTTCTAAAACGTGTTCTAAAACACAGTTTTCTAAACTCTATGCTTGGCTGTTTTGGAGAGCTGTGAATGAGAACTTTCGAAATGGACGTAGGATTGCCTATCTACGTGTTCCATAAAAATTTACTCATCGGTTCATTAAAATAGATGGCCACAGTGGCATAGAGAAAGGTGATTGGTGTGAAAGATTACGATTCTGAAAAAGAGATGACTGGATGAACGTAACTGAAGCCTGTAGGTATTGACAAAAGTTTCTTCTCCCCGTGATGCCAGATCAGAAATGCATAGTCGACACAACGCCCGAATTAAAACTATATTAGTCTGCAAGCATCTAAACATTTATCACCAAGTTCACTCATACATATGTTTTCAAAGGTTGACCCCGTCTCCGTTCCCTTGGAAGTTCCACTAACCTGCACATCATGTGCGTCATCAAACTGAAAATTGTGTAATGGTAGGCTCGGAAGTGTAGTGCTGTCCGGTGTTTTGTTAGAAACCTGAATTTGATAGGCCTGCAATACTGCAGCATACTGGTAACCACACCCACACACACGCATACGCACACATATATAGGCGTCTCAAGAAATCTGCCCACTAGTATTGACACATTACAAAATGAAGGTATCTGCGTGCAATTCGTGGTGTTCCCTTTACTGCGACAGAAAGCACTTTCAAGTGCGTGTTAGTTTTAATTATGGCAGTTTGACAGAAGTTGAAAAGATAATCTTTCTAAACAGTGGGAATAACCATTCGAGTCAAATGGGCAAGTTGCGCAAGTCTGCGAATGGTCCGCATCCATTTTGAAATTTCTGAAAGGCAGCCACTGGCATTCAATGCAGGGCAACTAAATCTGACTAACTTAGCAGGTGTAACTGAAACCAATGCACAAAACAGCGCATCAATCTTTACTCAAAAGCCCCCTCATCGATGACACTATTGCTTTCGCCGTTATTAAATTCAATCAACATACTTCATTGCATTGCAGCACGTTTCTGCTGCATGGCTGCTTCTCGACGCTAGCTTATAGCCCTCTCCCAATGCGAGGGAAACAGTGTCATCACAGTTGACGTCTGCACTGGTTGTGAGGTACAATTACTGATCACCTCAAAGCGGCGCTTCAGATATAGTGGAGTAGAAACGCTGTCATTGGTTATCGGTGCAGTGTGTCTTGTGGTATCTGCCGGGACGAGTATTAAAATGTGAACTTCTGAAGTGCTTGTTGAAGGGGCGGCCGTGTTCCGAAATGTTAAATGGGTGCACCCAGGTTCATTTTTTTTACGTTGTGAGATATGATGACACGTGTCTACCGACAGTTCTCTCTGCGTCAGTCACGTGGGCCAGTTTATAACAACCAAGGACCCGTCTCAAAAGGCACGTGTTTTCGCAGATCAGTTATGAGCCAATGCAACATGCGCATGTTTGGTGAGCGGCGCAGCAGTGGCGACGAGATACATTTCCCGAGGCTTCGCTTTCTGTAGCAGTAGTATGTCGCTATGTTGGAATAGTTGGCATGCATTTTGAATAATTTGTTGAATTTCCGGCTCTAACCCTGAATTTTGTTGCACCCTCAAATTTTTTCTTTACGAGCGCAGTCGAAAAAGACTACAAAATATTGCAACAAGTGGTCTTTATTGATGTCACGCTAAGTGAACAAATAAAATTGCTTTTTGTCGTTTCAAGAATCTTGAACCTAATTGCTTTGACAACTATCCTCTGTATTTAAATGTAAAACATGTTAGTACAGCTTCGCTTTCAGCAGGAAGAACGAGATACATGACGAAATCACAGATGCTATGCTCATAGAAGTCACATAACTAATACGCCACCCAGCCACTTTTAATTTCGTTAGCAATCATACATATGCATGTATGACTGCTTTTAAAACTTTTTTATATGTCTCACACGAACGGATGTGTAAGCAACCCTTTTTCGCTAAGGCTTTCGGTCGTAAACTAATGAAATCCTAAACCATGAATCTATATAAGTGCATCTGCATTTCTTTATTGCAGATGGCGCTCGTATCTACCATGAATCCATTGACTTAATCACTCTTTTAAGAGCGTCTAGATAGTATCTGCTACTGTTAGAAAGATGGCGTTGACATGAGGTTGCCTTACCATCTGTGATCTTGTTACTCATGAAATATACGGTGAATACACTGCAGGAGTAAGTATCTGGTTCCGTGTATTCAAGGGTTGTCTGATAATCAGCCTTCGTCCCTGAAAAAAGTTTTTTGCAAAATAAAATAACTTGACGAATATTGAAGAAAAAACGCATGCACAGAGAAACACAAACTTCCGTGTGCAAGAGAGCTTTCGTTGCCGGATGGAGCATGGTAACCTTCATAGCTGAACATGAGCTGTAATTACGAATAAGTAAGAAAATACCAGTAAGTGTGGGTAACACAAAATTTCATGAATATAGTACCTATCTGTACATAGGTGGCTACACATTCATAATTATTCAAGTCACATTTATTTAAACTTGAATAAAACATTCGTAGCCCTTTCAGATACGACCTTTCAGTATCAACCTTTAAGCACGTCAAGCTTACACATTCTTCTAAGTGCACGATGTTCTGTCGGAACAGCGGTAGCTTCATTCGTTTAAATATTTGTTTCAAGTTATTTATTGCCGAATAAATTGAATGAGCTGTACTTACAAAAACCATTCATATTCTCTCTCTGCGTATTTAAGAAAAAGCCTTTTAATAATTTACAAACTAATATCTTATGTTTTAGTATAACTATCTATCAGAACGAAACAATCACATTTTCAATTAGCTCCCCCAAAGTCGCGCTTTAAATTCTTCGTCGAACGTAGTATTTGTTCAGCATGATAAACATAGGCAAAATTACGCTGCAAGTTTTGGTAAAAATGAAGCGAATTTATTGTGCAGAAGGCGTAGTGTTTCTAAATATAAAAGCATGCTACTCTTTCTTAACCACCAGTCACAAACTACAAAAACAAACTCGGACACACATTTGTGTCTAAATACTCGCAATTGGTCAAGATGTTTGTGTCTAAAGCGTGCCCCTTCACGTACTCAGAAGAATGCGCACGACTAAACGGCTAACACCAACGCTTACACAATCAAAATAAAAGAATACACGAACACACGGCTTCCACTTGCATGTACGCCACTACAGAAAAATGTGCAAGAGGAAGCTAGCCCCTTCCTGAAACTCCAACAGTAATGCAAGAACATGATTCATGTCAAAGATTTGCGAACCTGTGTTTCCAAGCCAATTATAAAATGAGATGATAGTATGTAAGGGAGCAGTGTGAGTGATATCTGAAATTATCATGCAGAAGTCTCTGGTTTGTTAGTCGAAGGAATTAGTGTTGTTTTTTGGTGTAGTGGCACGAGATGGTCTTGCAAGTTTTGAAATAAGACGTTGTTGGGAGCAGTGAGTAGTTTCGGGGACAGTGACGCTGAGAAGGCCTATGGTCACCTCCCAGGAAAGGTAACAACTCTTTAGCGTTGTAGCATACGTGGAGAGACTCGTCAAGCCAGTGAACATAGAAAAGCTTTCTCTTTTCCGTTCTAGAGTATTTTTGAGTGTTTCTATTTGAGCGTATACGAATGATTCTCCCCGTTGTTTGCCACACTAGTGTGAGTTGTTTTGAAACAGTCGAATGTGTGTATGAGTGATGTTTACATTGACGTAATTGGGTTACATTATGTTTGTGGTATTAACTCTTGGTTATGACCCCATCTTTAGACCACATTGTGCGTTCAGTGGCATGCAAAGAGAACATAAGGTTAAAATATTCATTCTGTAGTGGTGCATTCAGGGGGGCCGATACCGCTGTCCTTCGAATCTTCCCGGTGATTGCTTCTTATTAATGGCGTTAGCGAGAGACCCAATAGCCACTAGACTTACATGGCAGGCACACCACATGAAAGAAGAATAACTTCAGTTTAGTGATATCCTGTCGCCGAAACTACGTCTTCTACTGCGACATTTGTATCACTACATTTTCCTAGATGGTTCTCTATTTATATCCAAATATACTACACTACTATTGGTTTTTTTCGCTTGCGTAATTGACAAGAAGAAAGCAAAAAGCACCTCAAGGTTTATTTGATTAGGTCTTGCATTCAGTGGGAATATTGTAAACGAGTTTAGTCACATCTGTTAGCAATGATCTCTGAAAATTCTAATGCATAAAATAGTACTATTTGGAAAGTATAGGACTAATCGACACTTATTATTATTTAAAAGGAGTGCGCCTGGGTCAAGAATAGTGTATCGCTCGTCGTGTTCTCTCACAGCAGTTCTTGAGTGTTTCGACAACATTAGTAAAATAGCAACGTATAACTCACAGAGCAGCCCGCAAAAAAAAACGATATAGTTCACCGCGAACTATTCTTCACCGACATGCTTCATTCTCTTCTGTACACACCTTTAGATTGTGTGGTCGTGCTTTCCTTGAAGAGAATACACAAGCTCAAATTTAATTGGTTGACACAAAAAGTACCTACTTCCACTTTCGTAGACGTTCATGGATGTCGGGGGATGCATATTGTGAATTAGATTTTTCCTATTGTATATAAATATTCCAGTATAATTGTCTCCGATGCTGCAAGGAGAATGTTATGTGTTAACACATTACCGATATACGCGAATGATTTTATTAAAGGTTTGTTGGAAGTACTCAACAAAACAAAAAGAAAGTAAGCACTTTTTCCTAGTTAGTGCAAAGCCAATGCACAGGGAAGCTGGTCAATATCATGATTTTCTATGGTATATTATTGTTAAACCTTGCTGCTTCAAGTTGATAGCCTCGCCATGCGTGGCACTATTACGGTTACAGTTCACTGCTCGAACATACCCGTATTCGGGATTGGCTTGTCGTTGCGGTTGTCCTTTAGGCGTAGCAGCAAGTCTCTTTTCGCGGAACGCTGGCTGCTCTACGGGAGTACGTACCTTCTTGTTCCAACAAATTTCAGGAACTTCCTCGACATAGCGCACTTGTTTTTTTCCTCCTGTTGGGTGCGATTTCTACGCATGCGTGGCTCCACATGACGTCACTCCCATTAACGCGTAGCGATGCTTCACTTGGAAAGAGTGCTACACGGTTATGGCCTCGCAGCTGCTACCCCAGCACAGACGCGGGCTTGACATGACGTCTTACCAGCTGTGTGAGGTTAATGGTTGCAAGGTGATGGCGCATCAGAATTTTTTCGCTATAGAGTCGGACAAATTACGGCTAGCCGAAACAGCTTCCCTTTTTGAAGTTTTGTTTCAGATTTCTTTGTAGACAAGCTGCAATGACGTACTTGGGATCCTAAGAGGTCTCGATGGGGAAGGCATTTTGATGGTGAAAGCAATGTTAATGTGTTTATCCTGATAATATTGTGAGGAACGGGTTTTTTCAGCCAGGCTCGAGCTAAATCACGCTGGTGATGATATTTTCAGATGAAGAAGATGTACAGGTGATGATGTTATCAAAGAGAATAAAGAGTCATTCGCTTGTCGCGCTCACACTAATTCTGCCGCGCGGTGAAAGCGGCTGCCTGGTCGCTTGACAGTATTATGAAATGCGTCGCGCATAAGGCTTTAAACGAGATACGTGCACCATCTCTGTTCCTCGGCAACGATGATCAGGATTAGCGCTAAGAGGGGAAAAGCGGTAATTGACAGGAGATGTCTGTCCGACCACCGTGTACGGCCCAATGAAGCGACTGATGAATTTGTCGCATAGACCGGGGACGCGTAGTGGAGTCAATAGAAGAACTTCGTCACCAGGGGAAAACTCACAACACGGCGAGACGAGTCGTAGCGAGAATTTCGAGTGTCTTGAGAGAGGTCGGTGTTAACACGGGCCTGGTGACCGCAGTGTGCGAGACGAGATAGAAATTCTTCAGAGAAAGGAGCCGTCAAGGGTGCAGGGGCCGAAAGGAAAGAGATATCCAGAGCGAAACTCGGTGAGTGACGATGGAAGAGGAAAAATGGAGAAAAGCCGGTAGTGCGTTGAGCAGCCGTATTATAGGCGAATGTCACGAAGGATAGAATTGCATCCCAGTTCATGTGGTTGGGGTGAATGTACATGGCGATCATCTCCGATAGGGTCCGACAAAACTATTCAGTCAATCTGTTGGTCTGCGGGTAGTAGCTATAAGTGTTCTTGTGAACAGTGTTCAAGGCACGCAAAACTTGCTCGACAATGGAAGAGAGAAAGACTTTGCCACGATCACTCAGAAGAATGAGTGGAACTCGATGACGCAAAAACATGTGGCGAAGAAAGAATTCGGCGATCTCAGTGGCAGTCCCAGATGGTATAGAAGCTGTTTCTGCGTAGTGGGTAAGGTGGTCGACGACCGTGACAATCCAGCGATTCCCATTGGATGATATAGGAAGAGGGCCATACAAGTTGATTCCAATGACTTCAAAAGGCGAGACGGGACAGGGAAGAGGTTGCATTAAGCCAGCCGGAGCAGTTGTCAGTCGTTTTCGCCATTGGGAATGGACACAGGAGGCGACGTACTTAGCGACGGCTGAAGAGAGGCCAGGCCAAAAACAACGACTTCGCATTTTGTCGTAAGTCTTGTGATAGCCTAGATGAGCGGTGGTTGGATCATCATGAAAGGCTTCCAAAACTTGACGTTGCAGAGAACGTGGGATGACGGGGACCCACTTGTTGCCATTGATGTGGTAAATGCAGCGACATAAAGCATCACCGACAAGGTTAAATTGTTTAAGTTGTCGACGGAGTCTGGCGTTTAGAGGAGTAGTAGAGCCGGTCAAGCGGTCAACAATGGTGCGGCAGTATGGGTCGGTACGTTGTTGTGAAACAAGGACGGATAGGGTGGCACGTGATGAACTTAGCCCTGCGATTGGAGAGATGCTGTCGTTTTGAAGTATCGATGGTGAGTGGCTTCCGCTGGCCAAAGGACCGCGCGATAGAGCATCAGCATCTTTATGCTTCTTCCCAGATCTGTAGGCGACATCGAAATCATACTCCTGCAAGCGAAGCGACCAAAGACCGAGGCGACCCGATAAGTTTTTCAGCGATGAAAGCTAGCATAGGGCGTTATGGTCAGTCATGACAGTAAAATGACGGCCGTGAAGATATGGTCGGAATCTTTGCACTGCCAAAACAACAGCAAAGCACTCCTGCTCGGTGATAGTGTAGTTCTTTTCTGGAGCAGTAAGAGCACGACTTGCGTAAGCAATGACGCGTTCGCGTGAGTTTTTGTCAAGCTGCAAGAGTACCGCACCAAGACCATGACTACTTGCGTTGGTGCGAAGAATGGTGGGTGTGGTGGAATCGAAGTGGCACAGTACCGGATCCGACGTGAGGGCTTGCTTCAATGCCGTGAAAGCGCTTTCGCAGTCTTTGGACCAAATAAAGGGGACGTTCTTTGCGAGGAGTTGATGGAGCGGAGACGCAAGTTTCGCGAACCCACGTATGAAGGACCGGAAGTAAGAAGATAACCCAAGAAAGCTGCGCAGGTCCTTTTGACGTAGTGAACGAGGAAAATCGAGGACGGCGGCAAGCTTCTCGGGGTCGGGCCGAATTCCTTCTTTGCTGACAAGGTGGCCAAGAACCTTGATTGTCTTGCTGGCAAAGGTACATTTCTTGGTGTTAAGCTGTAGACCGGCTTTTCCAAGGCATGTGAGGACTTCGTCAAGACGTTGTAGATGCTGCAAGAACGTGGATGAAAACACTGCTATGTCATCGAGATAGCACAGACACGTTTTTCATTTCAAACCACACAATACGCCGTCTATCATGCGTTCGATTTGGTGGGGGCATTAGAGACTCCAAAAGGCCTCTCATTAACTCGTACAACCCACCTGCCGTTGAAAAGGCGGTCTTCTCTTTATCAGACTCCGACATCGGTATCTGCCAGTAGCCTGATCTAGGGTCGAGGCTAGAAAAATACGCTGCGCCCTGTAATGAGTCCAGTGCATCGTCAATACGAGGGAGGGGATAAACGTCCTTGCGCGTTATTTTGTTTAGCGCATGGCAATCGACGCAGAAACGCACTGTCTCATCTTTCTTTTGAACGAGAACAACTGGGGATGACCAGGGACTCGAGGAAGGACGTATTATGTTGCGCCGTAGCATGTCTGACAGGTTTTCCTCGCGGATCTTGCGTTCTGCCTGAGACACGCGATATGGACGCCGATGTACAATACGAGAGCCGTCAGTCTGGATGCTGTGAGTAGCGGTGGTAGTCCTGCTGAGGGTGAGCGAGTTCACGTCAAATAGAGAACGGTGTCTATTTAACAGGGCGAGCAAATCTTCAGTATGATCAGGTGTTAAGTCTGTGCTTATGGTTGCCGACACAGGTGTGGAAGAGGCATTGAATGGCAGTGATTGTGACTTTGGGACATCGTTGAGGTTGTTGTTCGGAAGAGTAACAATCGCAACAGGCTCACTGTCGACCGCGCAAGATAATGTTGAGCCACAGGGGAGCAGTACACACTCGGGCGTTTGATTTATGGCGGTTAGGTACGTAGACCCATCGAAGAAGCGAATAAGCCCTGGTGTGACCACAATGCCCCTACGTAGGATATGACCGTAAGGGAGAATTAGTACGTCACCATCCACAATGTCGGTGCAATTAACACTTATAATTTCTTTGATGTATGGCCGAAGTACATATCTGAGGTGGTGACAAGGCGTATGCGTCCATCGTGTTCAAGCGGAGAAGAGTCAGTGGCATTTAGATGCAGGAGGCGCTGATGACAAGATATTAAAGTGGACGCAGAAGACAATAAATCCCACCCCAGAAAGAGAGAGTGGGTGCACTGACGAAATACCCCGAAAAAATGTGATGACGAATGCCTTCTATGCAGACACGAACGGTACACTGTGCAAGTGGACAAATGAGAGCGTTGGTCGCCGCACGTAGAGGTGGGCCGCCATAAGGCGTGGTGACTTTTCGAAGGCGGGAACGAAAATCAGCAGGAAATAATCAAAACGGCAGCGCCAGTGTCTACAACAGCCTCAACGCCTACACCTTCTACAAACACTACTATCGAATTCAATGGCCGATCGGGAATTAGCTGTCCGGTGGATGTGGTTTTCCCTCCTAAAACTGCATTGGGGAGTTTTCAGTGTGGGCGCTCGTGGAGTGAGAGGCGGGCTGCAGAGGCGACACTGAACGGCGACCTGGTGAAGGTGACCTGCGGCGAGACGTGTGGGAATTCCCAGGCATGTCAGTATGGTAGGTAGGGGACGCTGAACGGTAATAGGACGATCGGCAGGGTGGTCGTCGGTAGTTCATGGTCGGACGGAAGCTTCGTTGTTTTCAGGAGCGTAGCCGCATTGCTCGTCTTGTTGGTGCCTTCGATAAAACCGAGCGATATGTCCTCGAAAGCCGCAGTAGTAACAGATTGGTCGAGGTGGGCGCTGAGGTGCGTAGTAAGGTGGTGCACGCACATGCGGTGATAACGAAGTCACAGGCGTATGGTCTGCTGTTGTAGGCACAGAAACGGTGGGTGCGGCAGAGAGCGCGGCAACTTCGGCGTACGTGCGCGTCTGGCGCACGCAGGGACCGTCGGAACACGTCGAACGCGATGCGGAGGCGATCTCTTGTTGAATCAGGTCTCGCAAGCTATCTTTTT